CGCGCGGACGCTGGCGGGGCCTGAGCTCGGCCTCCGGGGGGCCGGGGCTGCAGGAGGGGCCCCAGGTGGCAACCCAGGGCCGCCCTCGCCTCTGCACTGCACCGATAACCCGCCCTGCAGGCGGTTCTTGGCCCGGCCGCGGTCCCGAGGTAAGAGGCAGGGAGTTTGTGAAGGCCTTGGTTGCTCTGCCCAGGGGCTTGAATGCCGTGGAATTTCCTTCCTCTCAATTTGGTGCTTTTTTCACTGCGCCCCGCTCTCAGAACCGTTAAGGTGTGGAAGATGGTGCCGCAGGGAGCGCGTGCTGAGTGAGTGTAAGGCGGATCGCACGCGGGCGATGATCAGAGGGCATCCTGGGTCCCTGGGATATGAGAGCAGCTGAACTAAAGGTCTTCGGTGTCGAGAAAGAGGGGGGGGCGTGAAGATAGTAATAGAAAAAAGTGAGGTGCCGGCTATTCTAGCTCAAAGGGGTATAGCAGAGTTCCTTATTTTAGTGAATAAGGGAACGGTGCTACAGTCGGACTAGACCCTTTCAAAGGAGGTGGCTCGGCGTAGCTGGAAGGGGGAGATTTTGATGTAAGGTGTTTCAGGCATCCTCCTCATACACATAGGTGACTATACTGAAGTTGTCATGGAAGCCACTCTTTTTTTTTAGAGGCAGCGTCTCACTATGTAGCTCTGGCTGGCCTTGAACTCCCTATGTACCTCAGGCTGGCCTCAGATTTGCTGTAATCCTCCTGCCTCATCCTCCTGAGTGCTAGTTAGGATTACAGGTGTGCGCCACCATGCCCAGCACTGATAGCTTCAATAAATTAGAGCTTACCTACTTAAAGAAAAGAAATGCCGAGGAAAGAAAGAGACACGGTGCTGTTAGTTCAGGTTTCTAAAGTAACTTTCATTCCTACCTGTTGTAAAATTTAAGTTTCTTTCAAGGAAGGGCCCGCAGTCATAGCAACAGTAGCAGCACTTGCTAGTCAGACCTCAGAGAATCTCTTCCTCCGGAAGTCGCTGTGTCCATCTGTGGACTGTGGAGAGGGGTTAACTCTTCTCAGCCTGTGGAGTTGGTGGCCACAGCGGGGGAAGCAAACAGGTGGCGCACAGGCTCTGCGCCCTGCTCCCCCACTTCCGCCCTGATTGTCTCCTGCTTGTTCCAGGCGTGCAGGTGAGGGTGCTCAAAAGGAAACGAACGGTACAGCCGAGCCCAGCGCACAGGAAGGGCCCTGTCCGTATTAGCTGTTGGCTGCCCTTTTTTTCTTGGTTCTTCATTTTTTCCTCCTTTCATACCATGTTGGCGGAGTGTATGCCTTTTAAAATCTGCTTTTCTACCCCCTCATGCCAAGAAGTACCTCAGTTTTCCAACAGTTTTGTTCAGGGACAAAAACATTTATAACATTGATATCCTTCCCTCCACCAAAAATTTAAGAATTATTTTGCCTACACTTGTCATTTTCACAGTAGAGTAAAAGAAAATAGCTACTTGTACCTTCATAACATTTTTTAGATGAATTAGAAATTCATCGTAGTGAGATGGGTCATAAAAACTAAGGTTGTATGGATTATTTTATGAAATATATTTAAAGCAGTTCCATGTGCATTGTTAAAAAGTATGAACAATTTTATGCATAAATACCAATACTTCCTTTCAACGTCTTAGTGCGTATGACTATACAATACCACCTATGGAGAAAGCCCTTGTGAAGACAGACATTCAGATCGCCCTTCCTTCTGGATGTTATGGAAGAGTAGGTAAGTGATTTAAACATCAACTATTTTGTCAGTCTGTCACCTTACTGTCATTTGGATATTGCCAGGGCTGTGTCTTAAAGAAGCCCCATCTATGCTGACAGGTGCAGCCATTTGAAATCGTGTATATTTTCTGCGTATGCCCCTCTCTTTTTGCCTTTATTTCTGATTGCTTACTCAAGCTTTTAAGAGGCTTGGCCCAAGGTGTGGTTCTCACAGTTCCTCACAGCAAAACTGAAAGTTTGTGTGACCTTTAATTGGTGTGATTTTTCTAGCTGTATAACAGCTCAACCTTTAAGGACTAGATGGTGTATGGGTCAGCTTTCTTTGAGAAGACCTTGAGAAGAGGGGCTGATGTGTGCCTTAGAAGAAAGAAACTAGGGGCTCGGGGCAGTGGCATGTGGCAGTTTAAGAAAGTAAACCCCCCACAGTCTGTCCAATGCTGAACTTCGTCGTTTTAGTACCGTCCCGTGGGATTATGGGAACAGACACCTGTAAGAGGTCTCTAGAGAGAAAGTGTTTCATACTGGGAGGATCTGGGACAGAAATGGACAGCAAGTCAGAGGGTTCCATTTTCTGAGTCATTGTCACCAGAGAGAGTTGCCAGGACTGTAGATACTTTAAAATAACTTCAGGGTAAATGGAAGGGACACATGGGGCGGTGAGCCTGTCCGGTGCGGAGACCTAGTGAGCCCTGGCTCAGCAGTGGTGAGGAGCTGCCGACTCTCCGACCGTGCAGGAGGAACACACAAGCTCACACTCCTCAGCTCCCCCAACATCGTGACGTGCTTGTAGAGGTAGAGTGATAGATCAGACCATGAAGCGGGTAGCATTTATTGACAACAGTGCCTGACTTAGATTACTCTGAAATAAAATATGAAAAGTTAGGATGACTGATGCTTAAGTGAACAAATGTAAAGGATAAACTTAGCTTTTGGTTGTTTTGTTTTTAGAAAAAAATAACTGCAGGAATTGAATTTTGGATGCTTAGTTTTTGGCGCTACTTGATTGATCGTAGGTGTTTTACTCTGGTTCCTGGTTCACACAAGTTACGTTTTCATTCGTGACTAGGGGTCCCAAGTTCTAGGTCAAGAGCTGCTGTTTTATTTCCTTCTGTTTCTCCCTTCTCCCTCTCTTGCAATCTCCCCCTCCTCCCCGTCTCCCCAAGTCGTGTGTCCCCGGCAGCTGCAGCCCTTTCTTCCTGGTTGTAGCAGGGCACAAGCAGCCACGCTGGCCCCCTGCCCACCTCGCTGTTCATCCCTGCAGCCTCCTCCATGCCCGCCACTGCCCGTCACAGACCTCCAGCACCTCAAGTCCTTTGCCCTGGTTTTAAAGTAAAACCCCCTGGAATTTCTCTAACTCTGGTGATGCGTCTACTTTTAATTTAGAACAATCGGCTAAAACCAAGGTGAAGTTACTTTTGGGCAAGGAAATGTGTTCGTATCTCATCACCTGTGCCACATCCAGTGATGCCATGTCTCCCTCTTTGCTTTTCAGCTCCACGATCTGGCCTGGCTGCCAAACACTTCATAGATGTTGGAGGTAATTTGTGTACTTTCAGTTCTGTAGATCTATGTATTTACTTGTCTTTATGCTTAGAAGGTAGTGTATCATTCCAGTGACAAGTTCCATCTTTATTTTCAGGAGTTGAATTTTTCAGGCAAGTGTCTTGCCTCTTCAGAAATGTCCATGTCTAAAATAATAGTTAGGTTGTAGTTGCAAATATATTTGATAATGTCTTACTTTCAAATGACCTTTACATAAAGTGCAGTTAGTTTGCTAATGAGCTAACTATGGGCTGTCTGGCAGACAGGATTTCTGCCTTGGCTTAGCGATAATCTGTGTTTAGTCCAAGCAGGATTTGTAAGAAGAAATGCATGATTATTTTAAACGTAGTTGGCTTCAATGATGAAGTCATACTACGGGTTCTAGAAATACAGACCTGTCTATCAGAACTCTCACACCTGCATGGTGAGGCCGTCTGGGGACCAGCAGATAACAAGTGGGGCTTCCTCTGAGTTGGGGACACTGCATTGCCCTGAGGCTCATCCAGGGAGTCTTCCGGGTCACCTGTATCTCTCACGAGTTGAGGGACAAGCCCAGCACAGCACTGTGGCCTGAAAAGCCTGGTGCCTCCCTGTGGTGCCATCACGTGGTGCTGTGGGGCCCGCTGGAAGCTGAGTTTACAGAGCAGGGGCTCCTGTGGAGGCCCAGGCTGGGGTGAGGCTTCTCTGGATTCAGTAGGTTCTGATGTGCACAAGGGTTTGTCCCTGGTCAGCAATGGCCATTTCGACATACAGTGATAACTGAGTTTATGAACAGCTGTACATGCTGCTAAGGAAATTGGAAAGGGTTGTGCAAGGGCAGTGGTCCTGAAGCAGAAGTAAGGACACAGAGGGTTAAGTGACAGCGAGTGCCTTGCAGGTGACAGTGTGTAGCTGGATTAAGCTCTGTAATTCATCATTTCTGTCTCCTAGGGATTTCACAGAGTCTATGTGGAAACTTTAAAGTTTGTTACTAATTTTTCTTTAAAACAGCCCTCAAGGGGAAAGTATGTGTAATTGGAAAGTTTGCTTGGTGGTGGTGCGGTGGTAATCGTAAAAGCACGCTGTGGTGTGTTCCTGGAAACCCTCCTGGGCACGTGTTTATCAGGGCCTGCGGCAGTTTGCATTGCTGGAGATAGTGTCGGCAGTAATAAGGGCTGAAGGGAAGAGCCAGGTGTGTGCTGGGATCCAGTCTAGATTCACGCCTGGTGATGAGGAGGAGCTCCAGTCAGTGACATGGCAGAAGTTGGCCTGAAGCCATTTGATCATTCTACCAGTACCCGGGCGTGGATTTCGAAGATAACTTTCTGCTGAAGAGAAATAACCCTGACTCTTATATCCTCTTTGTGAGAAAGAGGAAGTTTCGGATTTTTCTTGACAGGTGGCAATTGAGTAATAAATGAACTTGGAACTATTGAATTTTGAGTATCATTGGCTTTCATGGTAAAAAAAACCAGTTGTAATTGAAGACCTTTTTTGTGGTCATACATTTTCATTAACTCTAAACAACTTCACTTTAGTTTAAAGGCTTTTCACATTTTTGTGTCCCAAGCACAGAATCTTAGTAGGTCTTTCTGCCTTGGAGAATTGAAGAGACCCAACAATTTGACTACTCCTGACAGGACTCCTTTACAGATACATACCAAAAAGGCATTTACAAAAAGGGACTACTTTTGCATGTCAGCAAATACCATAATTTTTTTTTTAAATAACTGCATCTCATGAAAAAATACAAGAAAAACATAGGCAAAATACAAAACAGGACGTGTCAGTGTCAAACACACGGAGGCAAGGGAGGTCCAGCCTCCCCGGGGGCTGGGGAAGTGCACGGAGAAGCGCTGTGGTGCCGCGTGGGCTTGCTGCCGCCTTACTGGCAAGCGCCCGGAAAGGGGTGCTCTCAGGTACTGCGCATGGACACGTACCGGGCTGCCGAGTTGTCCAGCAGTAACTCTTGAAGTGGAAAACATACACCCACTTTGACCCAGGAAAATGGTTTTTGGAATCTGTTTGAGAAAATGAAAAGCATTAATATGTCGGGCTGCTTTTTTATTGTAGCAACTATGTGAAAGCAGTTGGCTTGATACTACGTAAAAGAATAGTTCCGTAATATTGGCTGCCTCAGGGGTGGTAAGGAAGCGGTAGCTTTTACTGTATGCCTGGTGATGCCGTTTGGATCAATTAAAACATGTGCGTCAAAGTAGGAACAGAAGTGTCCATATGTGAGTCCATCCTGTTGTCTTCAGCCAGCGGGAGAGATGAGCTGTGGCCCTGCATGTCGGAGCTCCCAGCAGGGAGCGTTCCTGCGTGCTACACGCAGAAAAGGTATTTCTGCAGGCAGAATCTTCTCCACACAGGTGCTGTGGGGAGCGACTAGTTCTGTTCTTTACAGCAATTCTTTTGTAAGTATTAAGGACTAATTTAATATTGGCTGGCAGTGTGGAAAGACACGAGGGTTTAACCTTTGACTTGGTCGATTTGTTGCTGTGCCCTTAGAAAAGAATAGACCGTTCCTTCGATGTGGACAGGAGATGGGCGCCTCCGGTGCCTTCGGGCTGTCGGTGCGCCTCGGCTGAGCAGGCCGTGCGGCCGTCTCAAAGCAGCCTGTTCCTGTTAAAATGCACTTCAAATTTTAGAGTGCTGCATCAGGAGCCTTTTAAGAAAGGCTGAAGTTCAGTTGCACTTGTCCCTTGTAATTCTTTCAGTAAGCACAGGGGTTCATTTAAACTTGCGTGATTCAGTGGAAAAATCTGAAATCATGGTTTGTTTTTTTTAGTATTTTCCCCCATAGAGGAACTAAGACTTTGCCCTTTTTTTTCCTGTATGAGAAACTGGGGAAGGCATTATCTGGAATGACCTTTGGTCTAAAAGAAAGTTTTTTCCCTTCATTTGATCTTCCTTTAGTTGGGAGTACAGCATGCCCAAACAGCCTTAGTGTCCAGTGAGCTAAGTTTGTGGCGTTGTGCTTCCTCCCCTCATGGCGGCTGCGTTGTTTCGTTTTGAGTACAGAGTGCTACTGAAGAAGTCAGCTGGGAAGTGGAGCCTATCCCACGGGTTTGTAGAACCCTAAGGGGCCTGTCCCAAACTGAGGGGAAGCCTTCCTACGTGAGAGATGATACGCTACCGCGGGGCTAGGGGAAGATGAGTGAGTGCCTGCTAGGAGGGAAAGGGCTTCTTTTCAGGGTCACGGTGTCATAAACTTGATGGGTTGCACAAGTCTGAAGGCACTTTAAACTTCTATGTTAAGTAGATCTTACTGTTCAAGGAAAATAAGGTTGGTGGACCTGTATTACCTGTGCTTGTGTTTGTGGAAACTTTCTAAACCCTTGGCCCAAAGATGAATCCTAGCAAGCGTGGGCTGTGACAGGGCCTGGCTCAAGGCTTCTATTTTCATATGTATTATCTCAGACAAGTACTGATTGCACAGGGAGAAGTGCACTCTATTTAAGGGTATGAGCTCGAGTATTCTCAGATTATAATAGAAAGGATTGTAGTTCACTTTAAAAGAAGAATATGGAAGTGGAATGTCCTGATAGTTGCAGGACTGCTGCCTAGCGGTGTCAGCATTGATTTATTCCACAGCAGATCTTTTGGTGTTTTGGCATTTTATTTATGGTTCAGTCATATTTCAGCCTGAATATTAGCAGGAAGCTGCTATCAGAGAAAGCCTTTAAAGCTAGTCATAACTGGGCATGGTGGCGCACGCCTGTAATCCCAGCACTCGGGAGGCTGAGGCAGGAGGATCAGTGTGAGTTTAGTGTAGCCCACGTGGGCTACAAAGTGAGTTCAAGGCCAGCCTGAGCTGCATGGTGAGACCCTGTCTCAAAAAGGCAAATCAGTGGATCAGTCCATCCACCCAGTCATAATTTTCTCTTTTTAGCATGTTGTGCACTTGCTTCGGGGTTATAATTGCTATGCCCAGCTTAAAGGAGGAGCTGGTCACCGTTTGATAAGGGTGACAGGCTGGAAAATTAGACCCATTTTCTAGGTTATTTGCATTTTAGTGATAGATTTTTTTATCTGAGCGAGACTCACATAATCAATTGCAAGGATAAAATATTCAGAGCTGTATAAGAATAATTTTGAAGTAATCTTATATTCCCAGTGTTCCAGTAGCAGAAATCAAGACATTGCTTTTCTTTCCTTCAGCTGGGGTCATAGATGAAGATTATAGAGGAAATGTTGGTGTGGTGCTGTTTAATTTTGGCAAAGAAAAGTTTGAAGGTATTTTAAACATTCACATCAATCTAGTGAATTTTCTAAGTCACGTATGTGTCAGTGCTGACTTTTGAATAAGGCAAGACATAAACTCTTGTTTTTTTTTTCTATTGAAGTAAAAAAAGGTGATCGAATTGCCCAGCTCATTTGTGAACGGATTTATTACCCAGAAATAGAAGAAGTTCAAGTAAGTGTCATAAGCTGAGTGCAGAATGATGAGACCTCGTAAGTGAAGAAAAAATATAACTGAAAGTCTCCTGCAGTGTTGGTAACTACTGTACATGACTATACCTGTTTTAAGCAAAGTTAAAATCGTAGTGTTAGAATGTCCTGACATGTTCTTCATGTAGATATTGTGTAGTATTACTTTGGCTGATTATTTAGATACTGTGAAATTCCATCCAATATTTGGGAAATTATCCTATTTTCTAATAAGGATCCTTGTTAAATTCCCTTTTTAAGATGAAATGATGAGCAAACATGAACGTCTTACTGTGGGAGCTGGAAGGAAGAACTGACCAGAGCTAACTGTGCCGTACAACCTTTCTGTCTTTCAGGGATTGGAGGACACCGAAAGGGGTGCTGGAGGCTTTGGTTCCACTGGGAAGAATTAAATAAAATTTAGGCTAAAAATGAGAAAACACCCTTTTTTTAAAAAAAAGATTTTTGGCTAAAATGTTTTGATGTTTTTCATCTGTAAACTTGAAATTCTTCATTTGCTTATGGTAGAGGAAAGCGGGTTCTCTTAGCATCATTTAGAAGCTTACTTTCTTATGGTATCTGCAGTTGGAGGTTGTATGTACATCTGATTTGTGGTGACCTAATGCAAAATTAAAAATGGTGAATATGTGATACAGGTTTTAAATAACTAATTCAATTCAATAAACAATACTTTTAAAAAATGTGTTGCTTTGATTTATAAGTCATTAACCCTGGCTTTTATTCAGTACTTTCACACATAGAATTGCTTACACTAACTAAACTAAAAGAAGTGTCAACAGAAGAGGTTAAAGTTGTTCCTGATGGGCTTTTTTGTTAAAGTATTTTGTGTTCAGGTTTTTTTTTTTTTTTTTTTAATTAAGGTATGTGAAGGTAAGAAGGGCATTCTGCTCACTTTTCTTTTTTCTCCATAATTTTGACAGACCTTGGGTTGACTGGGTTACAAATACGTTTTGTAGAAAGAAATGTAACATGGTGATTTCCAGTTGATTTATTGGTCTGAATTTCATCTCATTAGGCAAATTGTACAAGGTATGCTTATCTGAGTTTCTCACTGAAGTAGCATTAGTAGCTCGTGTCCAAGAAAATAGGCAGTTTAACAGGAATAAAATTAATGTGTTAGTTTGTATGTGCTTGAGCCTTGGGGCTTTTGTGTCCCAAGCACATAGCCTGAGTAAATATGCATCAGTAGTGTTTTGCTGCAGAAATGGGCCAGTTCCATGGATTAGTTTGGTTTGTAACTTTCTCTAGTTTACTTTCCTTCACTTCACTTCCCAGACTCCTTTGCACCAGTTGTTGGTGTCTTAGATTTTGTCCATCAGATGCACCATGAGACTCCCAGGCATCAACAGAGGTGTGAGTCACACAGAGGAAGTGCTTCTGGAGCTGGCTGCCCGCTTCCTGGAAGCACACGCCGCAGTGTATCTCCTGTCTTATTTTATTCCACATCACGCATTGTAGCTGCCTTTCCCGGGTCAGTCTATAAGCGAGTCACGAATCAACTCACTAGAATCCAGCCAGCATTTTAAAAATTAAATAGAGGGCAACACATGTCAGGAGAAAAAATACTGAATTGCACATTGATGTGAACATGTGTTTAAATAATTTCTTCAGTCAGTAAATTTTAGATAAATCTGCTTAACTAGCCAGTGTACAACTGAAGCCTGACCAGAATAACAATAAATATGGCCACCAAGAGAGATGGTCTTTAATTTATACTCTTCATGTTAGTTGTTATTGGTGGGTCTGCTGCTTTATTCATGTACTTTATAGATGATTAATTTCTCATTGTGAGAGTAAATAAAACATCTATTTCGTAAATGACAAAAATAGGCTTAGGTTTAGTAAACGTGTGCCATTTTAGCCAGCAACCATTTTTTTTTATTAAAAGATTTGTCTTTGTTTTTTTTTTTGGTACCAGGAATCAAAGTCAGGATCTTGCACTTGCCGGGCAGGCTTATGCCACTGAGCTATATCCCCAGCCCAAGATTGTCTTGAAATTACTCTATTTTACATTTTAACTTATAAAACAGATGGTTGGGGGAACATATCAGTACCGATAGTTTAATAAAAAATTTATTTTAAAGAGAATTTAAAAATAAAAATACAGAATTTAAAAGTAAAATGATAGGAAATTAAACAATGGTTATTGCATATTATCTTCAAAGTAGTTGCTTAGAGTATCAGATATAGGCATGTGTGATTGATTAAGCAATATAAACACTTTTCAATGAACCAGTACAAATTGGTAATACCATTATCTTAGCTATCTTGTATATATATATTCCTTATATATTCCTTCTTTTCTCCTTTCCTCCATTCTAGTAGTTTGTTCTTTTTGAGCAGTTTCTTTCCCTTTCACAGTATTCTAATTTTGGATCTTATTCTTCCAGTTTCTTACACTAGGGAGACTACAATATTTACACATGTGAGTCTGATTTATTTCACTTATGGGTATGGTCTCAAGTTGCATCCATTTACCTATAAAAGCCTCAAGTTTATCTTTATAGCTGGGTAGTACTCCATTGTATAAAAATACCACATCTTTTTTATCCATTGCTCAGTTGATGAGCATTTGGGTTGTTTCCAAGACTTAGCTATTATGAATTGTGCTGCTATAAACATGGGTGCACATATGTTGCTGTGGTATGATGTTTTTAATTCTGGGAAAATACCTGAAAGGGGAATAGCTGGGTCAAATGGGACTTCTAATTCTAGTTTTTTGAGGACTCTCAAGTGATTGTACCAGTCTATACTCCCACCACCAGTGGAGAAGGGTTCCTTTTTCCCCACAGCCCTGCCAACATTTGTTATTGGTTAATTTCATGATAGCCATTCTTGCTGGGGAGAAATGGAATCTCAGTGTTGTTTTAATTTGCATTTTTTGAATGACGAGTAATGTTGAACATTTTTTCATATATTTATTTACCATTAGTATTTCTTCATCTGAGAAGTATGTATTCATCTCAGATGCCCATTTTTGGATTGGGTCTGTGAATTTGGGGGTTCTGATTTTTTTCACTTCTGTATATGTTCTAGATAGAAATCCTTTGAGGGACAGTTGGCTAAAAAATTTTCCCACTCTGGATTGTGAGACTAGTTTTTAATGAACACAATTGGTTCACAGTCTGGATAGGAAGTTCAGGACTAAGGCTCCAGCAAATCTCTTGTTCCAAATGGCACCTTATTGCATCCTCCTGTGACAAAAAAAATCCCTATGAACCCTTTTTATCTGTTTTGTTACTGAGTTATGAATTCAACTCCAGGACAGCATGTTTTAGAAACTTGGGAAGAGATAGCACATGCTGAAAAAGTACGTACTGGCCCTGCTTTCATGCCCTAAACCCCTGCATTAGGCCTCACCTCCCTGTACTAGTCCATTGTGCGTTAAATTTGCAGCACGTGAATTGGGGCACACCTTCAGACTGTACTGTTAACACTCAGGGCTTTGTATCTTCAAACTCACAGTTCTCTGATCTCCAAGGGGCAAAGGTCAACAATACAGAGGATGAGAAGCGCAATGAAAGTGCTACACAAGTGTGTGCATACCCAGAATGTGCTCTCATCTGAGTGAGGTACCAAAGTGGAAAGAACATCCCACTGGGCCCGGAGTGTGTCCCATCTCAACCTCACCACAGCTGTAGAACTGTTTTGACATTTAAAGGCACTGTTTCCTTGTCTGAAGTTTGCCAGCTAAGTCAAGTTCCACTGTGCCAGTCTTGAACTTTTTTACATAAATGGAATCGTGAATTTTTAGGTCTTGCTGCCTTTGCTCAACACAGATCTGACCCAAGTTCCATGTAGCTGTTCATTACCGAAACCCCCACAAAGGGTACCAGTCTCTCACCCAGTAAAACGGCACATGGATGAAAGGAAAGAGAAAATCTGCTCGTGGTGGAGCAAAGGGCCACGAGTCCGAGAGCTCACGGCTTTTATTGGTATCAATCAGGTGGGTGAGGGTCACGGCAGAGTGCAAGGGAAGAGAAATTTTGCAGGCATGGTTGTAAGGAGAAACATCCATTTTGTGCCAGGCACAAAGGCTCTTCAATTAGTGCAACAGATAGCTTGATGTGTGCAAGGCTGGCACCTTTACTGCCAGGAAGGTATAATGCTTTTTGAGTCCCATAGCCTCAGCTGAGCTATTATATCTTAGCCGTGGAATCTCACAGGCTCATGCTCAAGTCCCCATTCCAGCTGTCAGCAGCGGTGGGGAATTCTCACCCGAGTACTGCAGTGAGACACGTCAGCGTCTCCACTGGACTCGATCCCATTCTTTTGACTTAATTAAGGGAACATCTGCTTCTATATAGCCAGCTCTGTCTGTCTCAGTAAATAGGGTTGAAGTAAAGGTCAGGTAAAGACGGAGGCCAGGGGCTTCATTTCTCAGGAGCGTGCAGTTTCGCAGTCTCCAACAGTCCATTTCTTTTATAGTGTTCTAATGCACCACAACCTTGCATGCCTGCTGCAAACCAACTTGGTCAGTACATGTTATTTTTATTGCTGCATTTGGTTTGGTCTTTTCCATATATGTCCATAGGACACACTGCTCTGTGCTTTTTCCTTTCTCATACTGTATTTTTCAGCTTGGGGCAGCAGAGAAAGTTAAGCTACTTTCACAAAAGTAGTAAGGAGTTATGGAGTAATTGTTCTTTTTTCCTCCCTCTCCTGCAGCTTTCATAATCGCTATTTCCTGGTAGCAAATTGAAGCGCCAGTTAACAGCCAATCCCATGGAGGATCGCTCCTTTCCCCCTCTGCTGGCTTTAGCACTATGATGGTATAGACAATATTTATTGGGAGGACATTGAGTTTCTTAATCTGTATGTTGATATCTTTCATCAGGTCTGGCAAATCCTGAGATTTTTTTCTCATGTTTTATTCTAATACTCTCGAATGTCTGTTCAAATTACAGTTGTAATGGCTTATCCTCAGTTCAACATTTTTATTTAGAAAAGTATATTTAGAGCAATTTTAGGTTCATAACAAAGGAAGCTACTGAGAAGAAGGTACTGAGATACCCCATAACCTGTCTGCCTCCACACGTGCACATCTATTATCAACATCTTCCGGAACAACACATTTGTTACAAGTGATGAACCTACACTAGCATATCACCATCATCCAAAGTGGGAGTTTACTTTAGGGTTCCCTCATGGTGTTCCATTGCCTGGGTTTGGACAAATTTATAATGATGTGTCCGTCTTTACCGTATCACAGCGTATTTCCACCACCCTAAACATCACCTGTGCACGACCCACCCAGCTCTTCCTCCCTTTCCTACCAATCCCTTTTCACGGTCTCATAGTTCTTTCTGCCTTTTCCACAGTGCCACGTAGTTGGGATGATACAATATGTAGCCATTTCAGATTGACATATTGCACCTAGCAATACGCTTTTAGGCTTCCTCCATGACTTTTTGTGGCCTGATAGCTCATTTCTTTGAAGCATTGAGTAATTTCCTTTGTCTAGACTTACCCAAATTCATTCATTCACCTACTGCAAGCTGTCTTGGTTGCTTCCAAGTTTTGGCAGTTATAAACAGACTACTAGAAAAACCCACAGACAGATTTCTGAGTGGGCATAAGTTGTGAACAATCTTCCATTCTTACATCTGGTAATCTGAGCAACATAGGTGAGGATACCCATATGTGATGTAACAACCACTGTTAATTCGTATGTTTTCTT